AAAAGCCAGGCATAGTGGCATGCGTCTATAGTCCCAGCTACTCAGGAAGCTGCGATGGGAAAATTGCTTGAGCACAGGAGGTCAAGGCTGCAGTGAGCCAAGTTCACGACACTGCACTCTAGCCTGGGTCATAGAGTGCCACCCTGTCTCAAAAATAAACAAACAGTTACATGATGATTTAATTTTTAAGAAATCTAAATGTGTTTTGCTCCCTCAGCTGATCTCATCCCCTAACCCCCCTGCCAAGTAGCTACAGTTCCCCAGAATTACTACAGAAACTAATCTCTGGCTTTATGTTTGCCTTTGTCGCTGACCCGCCCTTCTCCTTGCCTTCTGTGGCCCGCAGTCCGGCAGTGCGGGGCTCGTGCTGTCATCTCAGGTGGAGGCCCACGCCCCCAGGAGCAGTCTCCCAGTGTCTGTAACACTCCCCTGCATTTCCAGTAGGATCCTGAGATGATTCGCCATCACTGTTCTCCCTCATCCTACCCGTAGAGGTGCACAGGCAGAACAGAATCGCAGATGCGGTTCAGCAGTATTTCTTCACACACAGAAGAGGTTCTTGGTTAGTTGACTTTAACGCTCACCCTCAGTGCTGCTTTTCAGCAGATGTTGACTTACTGTGATGGTGCCAGGCTTGGTGCTGGGCTGGAGGGTGGTGGTGGTTCAAAGGTAGATGAGAAGGAGTTTTTGAGGAGCTCAGTCTACTAGGAAGAAAGACTTGTGAACAAGCAATTACAGTGGAGCGTGGGGAGAACCTGAGCCAAGGTCATCCAGGGTGTAAGGAAGCACAGGAGAGAGCAGCCAGCTCCCCCAGGCACTGGGCAGGCTCCTGGGAGGGACTGACATCTGAGCTGGGACTTGCAGAGTGAAAAGTGTGTCAGCCAGAGAAGAGGGGGAAGGAGAAATTCAGAAATCTGTACAGGGAGAAGCAGCAGCCTAAAGGGCTTGCCTACTACAAAACAGGAAATAAAAGGTGGATGGGAGGTAATGAAGAAACAAAATTTAACTTAAAAGCCGCTTCTAAACTTCCCACCTCTTTGGGAGTTCTTTCTGTACTGTTTTGCAGTGGTTTTCAGGATACGCTATGTCCATATTTCTAAAACGATTGTTAGGAGCTTCTAGAGATCAGGGAGTTGGAGGTATGAATGTGTTTCCCACCTCTCCTGGTGCTCAGTTCAGGACTGTATCTCATGGGTGCTTGGTCCTTATTGTTGATGTCTATAAGCAAGCTGTGACAGTGCTTTAGCCCCGAGCAGGCCTGACTTGTCTAGGGGAAGGTACAGTTCTCTCCTTGAGTCCTTTAACCGGCCCAGGAATTGAGAGGCAAACCATCAATGGGTCTGTTAACCCTTTTATGTGTTGCACAGTTGACAGAGTGCTTTTTTATGTCTATTTCCTCTTTCAGTTTTCCCCAGCATTTCTGCAACGCCCCGAAAGAAGATGAAATTGTCCCTATTCTCATAGACAAGGAAATAAGCTCATGTTGGCCAAGGCTTAGAGGGGCCACATCGTTAATAAACAGCCCCAGATCTTTGGACTGCCAGTCTAACACCATTTCCACCAGACCCAAACTAACCTCTCCAAGGCCGACTCCTGACTTGGGCACAATCACCAAAACTTGGAAAGGCCTCACCCTGCAATTCTTAGGGTTGGCCTGTCTGTTGTTTTAAAATGTTCAGGGTTGTAAACATTGCATGGCGCCTATTAGACACATAATCTGAATTATGTATACCTGAGAGCATTCAGGGTATACCAAAAAGCTGGTATCACTGAGGCCTCTAAGAAGTTATCATCTGTTTGTGATGCTTTACTGGGCTCTCTGCCAAGGAAACCAGGCATACCTGCTCCTTGCCCTCTAGGATCTTATAATCAGCAAATTTGCTTATAAATTGTAGCAAATTTGCAGCCAGGCACAGTGGTGCGTGTCAGCTACTCAAGAGGCTGAGGCAGGAGAAATGTTTAAGCCCAGGAGCTTGAATCTAGCCTGGGCCACATAGTAAGATGTTCTCTCTAAAAATAAAAAATAAAAATCGCCAGGTATAATGGCTCACACCTGTAATTCTAGCATTCTGGGAGGCCGAAGCAGGTGGATTACTTGAGCCCAAAAGTTTGAGACCAGCCTGGGAAACATGGCAAAACCGTGTCTCTACACAAACTACAAAGATTAGCTGGGCCTGGTGGCATGTGCCTGTGTACTCCCAGCTACTTGGAAGGTGTAGGTGGGAGAATCGATTGAGCCCAGGAGGTCAAGGTAGCTACAGTGAGCCGTGATCTCACCACTGCACATCAACCTGGGTAACACGTGACCCTGTCTCAAAATACATTAAATAAAAATTGTAGCTGGGCATGGTGGTGGCTCACACCTGTAATCCCAGCACTTTGGGAGGCGAAAGCAGGTGGATCACCTGAGGTCAGGAGTTCGAGACCAACCTAACATGATGACACTGCATCTCTACTAAAAATACAAAATTAGCTGGGCATGGTGGTGGGCATCTGTAATCACAGCTACTCGGGAGGCTGAGGCAGGAGAATCAGTTGAACCTGGGAGGCAGAGGTTGCAAGTGAGCTGAGATCGTGCCATTGCACTCCTGCCTGGGCAACAAGAGCAAAACTCCATCTCAGAAAAAAAAAATCTCACTTGTATTCCCACAGTGGTTTTTATTTTTACCTCCAGTGTTTGTCCCCTACCTTCAGATTTACAGAATGTCAACATCACACTGCGCATCCTCTTCCGGCCCGTTGCTAGCCAGCTGCCTCGCATCTTCACCAGCATCGGAGAGGACTATGATGAGCGCGTGCTGCCGTCCATCACGACTGAGATCCTCAAGTCAGTGGTGGTGAGTGAACGGGGCCCTCAGCCTCCAGCCCAGGGCACCACCCCACGAGGCTACCAGGTGGCAGGAAGCGCTTGGCAGTGAGTTGGTTGGGATGTGGCTGCTAGTTTCCTGGTTCCTTTTCTGCTTCCTCATTAACCTGACCTGCCCTTCTGCTCCTCCCTTTGAAACCAGGCTCGCTTTGATGCTGGAGAACTAATCACCCAGAGAGAGCTGGTCTCCAGGCAGGTGAGCGACGACCTTACAGAGCGAGCAGCCACCTTTGGGCTCATCCTGGACGATGTGTCCTTGGTAAGATCCTTCGGGGGACTGAGGGGAAGGGGCAGCAGTTCTTGTATAGGTGCCTGGCTCCATTTCTGGGTAGATGCTATTAGGTCCCCCCTTCCCCTCTCCCAGATGTGAGACTTGAAAACACAGAAACATGTTGAGGTGAGGCAGGCTCCATGGGTTTCTCGGTCGAGGGTTCTTTTACCTTCCCCTGGCCACACACATCTTCCTTATGACCTCTGGTTGTATCCAGATAGTCCCTAACCACTAAACGTTTTACTGTCTCCAAACTGTGTTACCCAGAAAGTGATGCCTTGTTAACCCTGTTTGGCACAGGCAGAAACTGCCTAGTAGAGACCAGAGAACAGCTCGGGTCATCTTTCTCCCCAGCACAGACCTCCCAGCCTGGCCCCTGGGAATCTCCTAACACCTAAGGTCTGAAGCTCAGTGAAGTAAGTTCTGGGAACCCCAATGAAAGGTGATAGAGGGTAAATGAAAGGTTTGATTCCCCCAGGCCTGGTAATGGGGGGCAAGGGACATCTCTGAGGCACAATCTATCCCCTAGAGACACTATAGCTTGTGCGTTTATATGACGTTGAATGTCATAACTCAGACAGCAAGCCATATAGGCAGGATAGCGTTTCAGGTTGAGGAGGGTGAGGGGAAGGGGTCGTGTTTCTAGATTCTCTGGGAAAAATCATTTGGAGTGATTTGTTCGGGCAGTGAGGTAAAGTGTTTCCTGTTCGGTTCTCCTGTGCATCGCTAGGGAAAGGCACCGCTTCCCCCAGCGTCTTTGCAGCTGTTTAAACAGCCACTCCACAACACCCTGTGCTAACCCCGGGGCACTGCTCCACCTTGCTCCGGCTGCTAGAAGTCCCAGGGCCTTGGGGCTCCCTCTGCTGGCAAGATGCCAGGCTGCAGCCGTTCTGCAGGCCCTCCCCACTTAACCTGAACACCTTGGCTGTGAGAAAACACTGAATAAAAACCTAAGGGAAAAGTTGGCATTTTACTAGACTTCAACCGCATACTCCATTCTGGGGAAATGTGGGCTGACCACAGGAAACCCTATCTCAGAGGTGTGAGAAGAAAATTAGGTTTCATGGGGAATTTGCTGCCCTCAGCTGGCCCTTTTAGAAATAAATTTTATTCCTTATTTATACATTGCATTTTTCATTTCTCAGGATCAGATTTTCTTAGCCAAACTTTGAATAAGAGACTAGAAATGGATCAGGCGACAGACAGCAGCTGCAGTTAGAGTTAGGAGGTTAAAAATTCTGGAAGGTAGTAAGACCAGGATTTACTCTTTAGGAGAAGTTTTGGGGCTGCTTTTCAAAAAAGCAGAGGTTGGGAGAGTGGAGGAAATGAAACAACTAGAAGCTGATGGCAAAACCAAGCCTCTCCTTCTCCCTATTCTTTTTCATAAAAATTAGGATGAATAAGTAAATTGCTCTAGGCTGGGCATTAGGAATTCTGGGGTCTGTTCCCATTGTTTGTGCTATCTTTAGAGACAGTCCCGTTGGGAAAGGTCTAGGGATCATCAGACTTCTAAACCCTCGCCCCGACCAATGACTTTACCTGATTTCTCTTTCCTTTAAACCCTTTAACAGAACCACTCACACATTGGGAATACCACGATTTGCGTTCCACCGTCCCTCATCCTCTTCCTGTTCAGTGGTGGAGCTGCTATGGGAAGAAGTGGACTGGTTAACCCATAAGTAGGAGCATCAGGCTGTTGGATCCCTGGGAACCAGCTGCCTCCCTCTCTCTCAGGAGCCCCATTTTCCATCTGGCCTTCCTTGGGCTTTGAACCAGGCATCAAAGGCCCTTGGAAGAGCACTAGTCAGTGGTGGGGGTCTTAGAACCCACAGCTCTCCTCTGGGGAGGTGGTTGTTGGAGTGGATACCTTCTGGTGCCTGTGGGCCCCATCAGAAGCCCCAGTTGCCATTTGCTATATGAGGTCGCTGTACTGCGAGTGACAGAGTAAGGTACAGGAGCAGTTTAAGCAGCCAGAGACTCTGGTGGGTGTAAACTCAATTTGGATACAGATACGGAGGTGGAAGAGCATTCTGGCCTCACGGATGCCTCCAGCTGCTAGAGCCATTGCTGACCTCTTCGTTGCAGCAGCCGTGGAGGCCTCCCAGCAGCGCTGTCTAAGCAATCACACTGCCTCATCTTGTGCTCACTCTCTCCCCTTAGACACATCTGACCTTCGGGAAGGAGTTCACAGAAGCGGTGGAAGCCAAACAGGTGGCTCAGCAGGAAGCAGAGAGGGCCAGATTTGTGGTGGAAAAGGTGAGCTTTCAACCAGATGGCAGGAGGCTCTCCTTCCCCGTTCTCCTGCACTCAGCTTCCCCATCTGCTGGGTGGCCTGGAAATTCATCATCTGTCATCCCTTCTTCCGGGATCATCGGAAGGGGCTTGAAGGGATTGTACTTTTGCAATTGGTTCCAGAGTCTTCAGGGGCTAGTCCAGGATATGTGGAGTTCTGTTCCTAAATCACTGAAAGGTAATTTTTCTTCCACTTCTCTGAGATCAAAAACACTCTTACAAATAAAAATGTTTCTCCTGGAGTATTTTCAGCTTCACTGAGAAGTCATTTTTAACTATAGTTACATAGTGAAAGCTGACAGCAAAAAAGATCAAACGTTGCACCAGATGTGCTTTCGTCACTAGATTTTTTTCTGGCGCTAAATCCATCCAGATGTGTCAAAGAATGTGATGGGACACAGCGTATTTGCTTAGCAGCCTGATCTCTCTGGTATTTGCAAACACATGTTTATTTCTTGTTGTCCGCCTCTTCCCACCACCAGTGTCCCTAATTCGGGGGGAGATGGGTTCAGCAAGAAATAAAAGGGGAAAAGAGGGATAGATTTAATTTTGGAGAATGAAAACTCTGTGTGGGCAGGGACTTGTGTTGCTTTGTATCTCCCAAAACGTCAGAGATGTTAGTAAGTCTAGCACAGTGCTTGGTGACAGTAGATTTGCAGTAAATGTGTTGAGCAAACAGACGTGGGGTGCAGCCATTTCAAAATCATATGTAATTTCAGAGAGGCTCAATACTGTCTCCTCACACTCCTGAAGGTCCTGCATTGCAGAGAGCTGTCTTCCTAGTGATATTGACGGGGTAAGCGTAGGAGATCTCACTCTGGATGCCTGGGTTCTGGTCAGGAGCCAGCCTAGCTCACAAGCAGCTCTAGGAAGTCACAAGTGCACGCTGCTCTTTCTTCGCCATCCTGAAGTTGGTTGGTTGGTTTGTTTGAGACAGCATCTGCCTCTGTGGCCCAGGCTGGAGGGCAATGGCATAATCATAGCTCACTTCAGCCTTGACCTCCTGGGCTCAAGTGATCCTCTTGCTTCTGCCTCTCAAAATGCCGGGATTACAGGCATGAGCCACCACACCTGGCCCAGTCCTGGCTTTGATAAAGCCCTTTAGACTTGGGACTTGAGGGAAAGATGAGCCTTGAGAATTGATTCCACCTTTCTTTTTCTTCTGTTTTCCTTGTTCTTGGATCCTCCTGGCCCTTAGTAGGGTGGTTAAACTAGATTACAATTAATATTAATGAGGACTTTGAAATAAGACAAATATTCATGCAGGGCGTGGTGGCTCACACCTGTAATCCCAGCACTTTGGGAGTCCAAGGTGGGCGGATCACAAGGTCAAGAGATCAAGACCATCCTGGCCAACATGGTGAAACCCTGTCTATTAAAAAGACAAAAATTAGCCGGGCATGGTGGTGCACATGTGTAATCTCAGCTACTCCAGAAGCTGAGGCAGGAGAGTGGCTTGAACCTAGGAGGTGGAGGTTGCAGTGAGCCGAGATTGCGCCACTGTACTCCAGCCTGGGCGACAGGCCGAGACTCTGTCTCAAAAGAAATAAATGAATAAATAAATAAATATTCATCCAGCCAACAGAAACGTAACCCTCCCCTCCTGTGATGAGGAGTGAATATGAAAGAAGAGGGGAGGACTGGGTGGGCAGTGTGCTCCCCCCGGCCCCCCATCAGGAAGAAGTAAACTCCCCTAGTTCCTTCAGGAGCCTGGGAAGGCGGCTTTCTGGTGAAGATCCTTTCTGGGTGGTAGCCTGATAGGCAGTTTCCTGAGGGTTGATCTTAGTCTCTCTCCATCTCCATGCTTTTAGGCTGAGCAGCAGAAAAAGGCGGCTATCATCTCTGCTGAGGGCGACTCCAAGGCAGCTGAGCTGATTGCCAACTCACTGGCCACCGCAGGAGACGGCCTGATCGAGCTGCGCAAGCTGGAAGCCGCGGAGGACATCGCGTACCAGCTGTCACGCTCTCGGAACATCACCTACCTGCCGGCAGGGCAGTCCGTGCTCCTCCAGCTGCCCCAGTGAGGGCCCACCCTACCTGCGCCTCCACGGGCCAACTGGGCCACAGCCCCAATGATTCTTGACACCGCCTTCCTTCTGCCCCCACCCCAGAAATCACTGTGAAATTTCATGATTGGCTTAAAGTGAAGGAAATAAAGGTAAAATCACTTCAGATCTCTAATTAGTTTATCAAATGAAACACTTGCATTCTTCCCATGTCCAACTACTTTTTTATCCACCTCCCTACCAAAAATTGCCAAGTGCCTATGCAAACTGGCTTTAGGTCCCAATTCGGGGACTGCTGGAGCTCCGGCCTGGGCACCAGCATTTGACAGCATGCAGGTAGGGCAGTGTGTGATGGACTGGGGAGCACAGGTGTCCACCTGGGTCCACGGGTGGCCTCCATCCTGTCACTGATGCTGCAAGATTTGCGGATGAGGGCACGTGGCTGAACTGAGAAGGCAGGCCTCCGTCTTCCCAGTAGTTCCTGCGCAGATGCTGCTGAAGAGGTGCTGGGGAGGGGCAGAGAGGAAGCGATCTGTCTCTTACCATAAGGCTGATTCTCTTTAACTGTGCGACCAGCGGAAGCAGGTGTGTGTGAACTGGGCACAGATGGAAGAATCTGCCCCTCTTGAGGTGGGTGGGCCTGATTGTTGACCCCTAGGGTCCTATAACTTGGATGGACTTGGATAGTGAGAGAGGAGGGCTGGACCGAGATGTGAGTCCTGTCGAAGACTTCCTCTCTACCCCCCACCTTGGTCCCTCTCAAATACCCAGTGGAATTCCAACTTGAAGGATTGCATCCTGCTGGGGCTGAACATGCCTGCCAAAGACATGTCCGACCTGCATTCCTGGCTCCCCCATTCAGAGACTGCCCTTCTCAAGGGCTCTGTGCCTGTGCTGGGAAGGAAACAACCATGGGAAGGAAACAAATGTGTGTAAACTGCTGTCAATAAAGGACACCCAGACCTTCTGGCTCAGCCATGGGTTGGTTTTTTTGTTTGTGGGAGCCGTGGGATCAGAACAGAGCGTTCTAGCAGTTTTTGTGTGCACATGTTCACATTACCAGCTGAGACAGAATCTCCACCAAGGCAGAAAATGCTTTGTTTTCAGAAAACACTTTGTGCTGTATTCCAGATCCATCCCCAACCCGAAGGGAATGTCCGTGGTAGCAGGTGAGGTTTGTCATGGGGTGGGCTTGTAGGCAGCGAGGGTACGTGGAGGGCAGTGCACTGTTCTGTGTGTTTTGGTGCCGCTACTCATGGAGAGTTACGGGCCTTCCCGCCAACTGCCAGCAACACCTTCCGCCGATGCTAGGGAAGTAAGTGGTTGTAAATTACAGGTCCAGTAGAGTAGCCCTCAGTTAGATGGCTTGGGGCGCTCTTTGTGGTGGTGTTTTTTTGTTTTTTGTTTTTTTTATCCCCCGAGACAGGGTCCCACTTTGTTGCCCAGGCTGGAGTGCAGTGGTGTGAACATGGCTCACTGCAACCATGACCTCCTGGGCTCAGGTGATCCCCCTGCCCTAGTTCCCTAAGTATTTGGGACTACTGGCAGGTGCCACTATACCCGGCTAATTTTTGTATTTTTTATAGAGACCAGGTTTCACCATGTTTCCCAGGCTGGTTTCGAACTCCTGGGCTCAAGCGATCCACTTGCCTTGGCCTCCTCAAGTGCTGGGATTAGCGAGCCACCACACCCAGCCAGTGGGTTTATACTGCTTATTCTGCTTTGCTTTGACTGATAGGGAAATTGGAAATGCCTTGGCATTTGCGGGGAGCTGAGTTTGTGCATCTGGATGCTGAGGAGGGAAAGCCGACCTCAGGCTGAGAAATGAACGGTGCCAATCACCCACCCCAAATCCTTTCAGGAACAAAGTGGAAACAACGTGCAGTGAGCACACAGCACTGACTGTGCTTTAACCTCTGCTCTTCATTTATTCCCCGGGCTCACCACCTGGCCACAGAGAGGGGTCTTTCAGACTCCACAGGCTGGTCTCTGACCTGGATTCTGCACTTCCTCCCCCAGAGTGATCGGGCCACTACCTGTCAGCTGGGGAAGAGGGAGACCCGCTGCGAAGATTTGGGGTGGAGCCAGGGATTGAGTTCTCCCAATCCCTGCAGCCTGAACGCACGCCCCTGGCGCCTCCCAGCAGCCATCCCAGGAGCAGACGACAGTGTGTGATGGGCTCCTGACCCTCCGCTGAACCTCAGACCTCCCTCCCATGAGCCTCCCATTCAGCCCATCTCCCTGCCACCTCCCCAGCATCATTTATCTCAGGCCTTAAGATTCTCTCTTCCCACTTTTGCTCTTTTGCTGTAAGAATAGTGAGACCTTCAAATGAGGTGCCTGGACTCAAGGCACATTAAAGACTTCAGAAAGAGCCTAATTCCTAAATAAGTTCCAGACCGGCTTCCACTCTGCGCCCTTCCTCCTTTTCCTGCCGTTTATTGCTTTGGACACCCTTTTAGGGGTGGGAGGGCAGGAGCCTCCTCTCTGTTCCGCAGGCCCTTTTTAAAAGAGGAGTTGTGTTTCCTGCATTTGGCAGGAGATTGGGTTTCATCCTCCAGGTGTCTGCAGGGGAGCCCTGAGCTGCAAAGCTGCCCTGCCCCGCTTTGGGGTTGCTGGTGCCTTCAGGTCAGCCCTTTCAGCTGCAGGCAGGCCAGGTTTCCTGCTGACTTTGCCATTAGACTCCCTGCCAGGGATGGCAAAGGCATATCCCAGTGGCAGCCCCGGAGCCTCATTTTGCCTTGACTTCCGCCAAGTAATTCTTTTTACAAATGTTCAAGGGCTGTTAACCAGCTTCTTAGCCCCTGATGGCCTCTGGGTTTCTCCAGAAGCTGCCACAATGGGCCTTTATCAGCTCGGGATTCTTGGGGCTGTGGATCAAAAAGCCACGTCCTGTCCTGGCCAGGGAAGGGAGAGCAGGAAGTGTCTTCCTCCCTATCCTTTGGTCGGGCTAAATAGTTCCTTTGTTCAGGCTGTGAAGGGCGAAGAAGGCACTGCACCCTGGGCAGGGAAAGGAGAGAAAAACCCTCACAGGGTTGTCGTTTTCCTGGCTTCTGCTAGTTTTACACAACCTCCGCCAGTGTGGACTGGTGGGGAGGGGTAGCATCGTGTTCATCTCAATGGGTTTATTTGAAATAAAGGGGAAGACAGTGGAATATTAGTAAAATCCTGCCTTAGCAAATAATCTTCCAGTCACATTCCAGCAATCAGCTCTGGAGTGTGCAGTTAGGACCTCCCGTTGACCTCTGCAATCCACCAATAATTGTGCCAAAGCAGCCTACCCAGATTGAAAATAACCTGGGTGAGAAGGCTGCCGGAAGCTGTACTGATTTGTCTGTCTCTCCTGGAGCTTCCATTCATTCTGTATAGGGATCCAAACTTCATTTGTCTTTTTCTTTCTCTTTCTTTCCTTTTTTTTTTTGACAGAGTTTCACTCTGTCACCAAGGCTGGAAAGCAGTGGTGCAATCTCAGCTCACTGTGGCCGCCACCTCCCAGGTTGAAGTGATCCTCCTGCCTCAGCCTCCAAGCAGCTGGGATTAGAGGTGTGCACCACCACACCCAGCTAATTTTTGTATTTTTAGTAGAGACGGGGTTTCACCATGCTGGCCAGGCTGGTCTTGAACTCCTGACCTCAAGCAATCTACCTGTGTCAGCCTCCCAAAGTGCTGGGGTTACAGGCATGAGCCGCCGCACCTGGCCCAAACTTCATTTTTCTAAAGCAGATCTCATCCCCTCCACACTGAAGAACCTTCAGTCTAGTGCAGTGTCTTGTCCTGACATTCAAGGTTCTCCGTGGACTGGCTACCCCTTTCTAGCCTAACAGTATTTTACTGCTTACCTCACAAACCTACCTAGTGGTTCTCACAGGGTGGGGAGTGCTGTTTGAAAATGCAAGTGGGCTGGGCACAGTGGCTCATGCCTGTAATTTCAGCACTTTGGGAGGCCAAGGCAGATGGATCACCTGAGGTCAGGAGTTCAAGACCAGCCTGGGCAACATGGCAAAACCCGTCTCTCCTAAAAATACAAAATATTAGCTGGGCATGGCAGCGGGTGCCTGTAATCCCAGCTACTCAGGAGGCTGAGGCAGGAGAATCACTTGAACCTAGGAGGCGGAGTTTGCAGTGAGCCGAGATTGCACCACCGCACTCCAGCCTGGCCAGAGTGAGACTTGGTCAAAAAAAAAAAAAAAAAAAGAAAAGAAAACATGGAGTTGTTCCTTCGACTACATACATCTGAATCTACAAGAAAGGTGATATCGTAGACATCAAGGGAGTGGGTGCTGTTCAAAAAGAAATTCCCCACAAACGTTTCCATGACAAAACTCAAAGAGTCTGCAATGTTACCCAGCAAGCTGTTGGCATGTTGGAAACAAGGGCAGGACTCTCGCCAAAAGAATTCATGTATTTACTGAGCACATTAAGCACTCTAAGAGCTGGAATCGCTTCCGAAGCACGTGAAAGTAATGATCAGAAAGAGAAAGACACCAAAGAGAAAAGAATCTGGGTTTAACTGAAGCGCCAGCCTGCTCTGCCCAGAGAAGCACGCTTTGTGAAAACCAGTGGAAAGATGCCTGAGCTGCTGGACCTGTTCCCTATGAAATCATGGCACAATAGGTGCAAAATAAATAAATAAACGACTTCTGGGCGGTTAAAAAGAAAAAAAAAAAAAACAGCTGGAAGTTGACACTCTGAGTTCTCCTCTCATGTCATAGGTCAAGTTACCTCTAGCTGCTCCAAGTCAGGGTTTTCTGGGTCGAACTGGCTAACCCAACCACCAAGGCCACCTCCCTCCCCAAGACCAATTCTTCAGAATAATATCTATCTGGCTTCCCACAGCGTCCACGTGCGGACTCTCCCGTTCCTGTCGCCCACGCACAGCCCACTCTCTCCTGCTTCTGTCTGGAACACCAGGCTTCTCTCTCTTCTCTCCTCTAATTCCTGTCCTGGTCCCTGTGAAGCACACCTTAAAATCCCCCTGCTCCAGGAATTCACCTCTGGCTGACCTCTCCCAAGCTTTCCTTGTATATAAAATCTCCCTTATTAAGAGAGGCATTGGCTCTGGAGTTCTGGCAATAACAAGATAGAGAATTTAACAAAAAAGGACTGATGAGGCCGACCCCGGCCAGCAGGGACTAAGGTGCCTCGGTAAGGCCCAGATGCACGGAGTTGAGAGAATGGGTGGAAATGTACTAGGGAGACCAGTTTATAGCAAGGGGCATGGGAAGGAGGGGTGGCTGTCCAGCACCCTCTGATCAAGCCACTTCAGAAGAGAAAAGAAAGTTGAAAGGGTAAGGCTAGTTTTAGGGAACTTAAAGCTGTTGCCATCCTTGAAGGCTGGGACATCCCACTTGGATGAGCCAGGAAAGCTATGATCAATGAAAGGCTTTGACCATCTAAGTTTGGCTGAAAGAGCTGGGAACACTTCGCTCAGGAGCTGGCAAGCTATAACCTGCCGGACAAATACAGCTTTTTACTTGTTTCTGCATAGCTCATGAGCTAAGACTGATTTTTACACCTCTTTTCCTTTTTTTACACTTTTTTTTTTTTGAGAGGGAATCTTGCTCTGTCACCCAGGCTGGAGTGTGGTGGCGCGCTCTCGGCTCACTACAACCCCCTGGGTTCAAGCCATTCTCCGGCCTCAGCCTCCCGAGGAGCTGTGACTAAAGGTGCATGCCACAACGCCTGGCTAATTTTTTAAGATGGGGTTTCACCATGCTAGCCAGGATGCTTTCTATCTCCTGACCTCGCGATCTGCCCACCTCGGCCTCCCAAAGTACTGGGATTACAGGCGTGAGCCACCACACCCGGCCTGAATTTTTACACTTTTAAGTGCTTAGAATAAAGTCAAAAGAAAAACATTTTGTGACACATGAAGGCCAGCCATGGTCACTCACGCCTGTAATCCCAACACTTTGGGAAGCTGAGATGGGAGGACTGCTTGAGGCCAAGAGTCTGAGACCAGCCTGG